ATCAATCTCACGTCTCAGCCATTGTTAAAATAAAAACAGGCACTTCCACATTTTTGTTTTGCCAGAGAGCTCTGTGTCCGCTCTGTAGAGTGGGAAGCCTTCCAGCTGCATCCTGAGTCCGTTATCAGTTGACAGTCTCCGTGAAGCACAGAACAGAAGATGACTAAAAGTCTCTGTTTTCCCCACCAGAAGCTGAAGATCGTCCAGTTTGTTGCACAGAGAGCGCACGGTGAAGACGTACAAGCAACCCGGCTCTTTTTCTTCACTGTCTGAACACCAGTGAGAAAGCCCTTCACCAAAATGTCCAATATTTCTACTGATGACGTGAGAAATGTAGGAACTAATGCTGCGTTCCAGGAAACTCAGAAATGGGAAATTCCCGACCTCCAACTGGAAAAACTATCCTGGAACGCCACTTGAAGTCGGATTTCCTACTGGTGAACTCGGAGAAAAAATATGTACCCCAAATTCACGAGTAGCAGCGGAATTACATCACAAAACAATGTCAGCGCCCATGGAAGCACTCATTGTAAATGGTAAACCATAAACTAAAAGGCAACAAAAAATATGTGAAAGAGCACCGAGAATAACAGCCAAAAACTGAATTAATTTCATGCAGCTGTCAGCATAAAGTTGCTCATTAATGTCACTTTTCCTGAACTGACCAATCACTGCCTGGATAGGGCGGGAATTAAAAAAAAGATTGACGCACTACAGAAAATTTTAACTTATTCTTCTGCCTGAATGATTATTATTATTATGGACAAGTTAGTAGCATTAATAAATAAGAGACTGACCACCCCTGTACACTGTCTTTCTTGCACAAGAACTTAGAGAATGAAAACAACCAACAAAAATAAAACTGCTGTTTTGTCCAACTGGAATAAATATTATACTAGTAGAAAGCAAACAAAATCTTTTGAGAGCATATTTATCGCACTGCAATCAAAGATTAAATTTGTAAATAAAAATAAACAGGCCTTTTTTGTGTCAAAAAAAGTTTTAATTGCTAATTTGTCCTTGATTGCAAGTTAAAATGTTTTCCTTGCGAGGCAGAAAGTTATGCAAGTTAAAAAGTTTTGCAAGTTTAAAGGCAGGGTAGGCAAGTTGCTTCTAAAACACTTTTTTTCATATTTGTTGAAACTGTCTTTATACACCAATGCACAGTATAAAAATTGTCTGTCTATAGTCCTCCCAGGGCTGCAGTAAACACAGCCACTCGTTCAATTCGGACCGAATGCAATGATTGGCTGGCTGACTGTCACTCTCCCTCGCTGCCATAGCTACCAGCCCTGCTGCTACAAGAGCTGCCCCCATGCGCGCACCCGGTCAGCTCGCTCAGACCTGACGAGCGAAGTGGTCAGACCGGTGGGTGATATCAATAGTGCTAGCAGACAGGGTTAACCTCCTTCGTGTTGCTGTGCATTACCACCACCACTCCACTAGATGGTACTGTAGCAAAAGAACTAGGGTCCTAGAACTGCGGTCCCAGGATTGCGAGGGTCCTGAAACTGCAGCCTCCGGTACTGCAGCTAAATACTATTGTAGCATACAGCTAACTGTTGCTACAAGTGCAGACTGGTCTAGGAGCCAGAGTAGAGACAATGAATTATATGTAGCTGTAGGTGAGCTGGAAAACAGCAGTGCGAGCTGTGTTTTCCGACGCTAACATTAGGTAAGACAATGTAAGTTTAGACTGCGCCGGTTTAGTTATTCACCATATAGGTTAATTGAGATGCCTAGAAGCAGAATCAGGAGATCTTATTAACCCCCGTCAACATGGGGTTCAGTCAGGTGTCCCTGCCCCAGCTGTGTTGCTAGATACAGCAAAATATTAAACAAAAAGTAATATGGTTGGTTTTGAAATGTGTTAATAATGTCAGAGAGGTGACTGTGATATATTTAATCATCTCCATAGCAGCGATATGACGCTACGAGTAAAGTCTGAACTGTCTTCATAATCAGTCAGGACACCTCTGGACACACCTTGTCGATTCCTGTGTATATACTTATTTTTAATGATGTTTAAAATGATCTATTTGTGATATAGGTTGTAGTTTTAGTAGTATTTAATAACAATAAACAAGTGTTATACCACATTTGGATGTTATTATTGGAGACATAAGTCATAAATGTAGTTGTTTGATTGTTTGTGCTGCAAGTGTAAAGAAAAGGCATTTATCATTTTCAGTGTTTTATTTAAAATATTATCCATAACAGGGAAAAATATACTTTGTATTTTCTCTACCCTCCTGGGAATAAAACTAACAATGTACAGGTATTTATCCACACAGTGGATGGAATTATTTGTGTAGCAGTTGGTGACACATCTTGATTACACCCTGCTAGGATTAAACCTCTGTATTGTCCTGGTGGATCAGGAGAACAGTTGCATATCTTCCAGAAACAGCACAACTCTGTGTGCTCCACACTGCCACACTACAAGCTGTCTATATGCTGCCTGACTGAACTGTCTGTTACTCTGTCCTGGGTCTGCAAGATCAGCCATGTGTGGTGCATGGAAACACAGTAGTCTGGATGTGTCCACAGTCCTCAGATTCTGGCCTGTAAAGGAATATATAGTTAGAACTCCAAATGGGAAAGATCTGTGTAATAGGAAAGAACATTCATCAACATCATCAGATATTTTTATGGAACAGGGCTTTGTTGTTCTCCAACAGGACTTCTGTGTCCACATTACACACCAGGTCAATGTACATGACACAGATGAGCCGATGGCTGAAGCAAAGCTGTAGTTATTGTAATCAGTAAACAATAATGAAAAAGTATTAACAATAGTAATGGATTACATTTATATGGCACTTTCTTTTTGACACCCAAAGGACTTACGGATAAACACCAGAGAAACTTTGAGACAAGTACACTGGGAGACATTAGACTAATATTAAGAAGCTGGAAGTGGAAGCTCTAACATGCAAAACAACATACATGTTATGATTCTAACACGAAATTCACGTTCATGTAGTGTAACTGATGGAAACGAGAAAATGTGTATCAGCCCATTTTTAGCTTTGCCCGATGTTACCGCAGCTGTCGGCACAGCTACCTGTTGCTAACAGTTAGCTAGCCAACTCTTTACTGAATCAAAGTCAGTCTTTTTAAACTTATCCAATATGAGCTTGATAGTGAGTACTAACAACCGAGTTAGTTGTTAGTACTCAAAGTTAAATGTTTTCTTACCCGTGATGTGAGCCGCTGCATCGCGCTGCCCTCCGCTGCCCTTCGCTCGTCACACTGTGCTCGTCCTCCGGCAGAGTCGGCAACGCGCCGTTCACGTGTTTTGGGGGCGTGGCTTTGAAAGGAGTCCAGATGGTAGGGGTGGGAGTTTCTTGCTAGTTTCTCAAACTTACCTATGCTGCCTTTAAATAGTTTTGCGAGTCAAAAAAGGTCTAAATATATTACTATTGGTGGTTTGACTGACCACTCATGGTTTGCATCGAACACATGGCCACGCACACAATCCCCTAGCTCCGAGGGCTCCGTCCACTTTCTGGAGACGGAGCTGTAGCGTGTACAGGCTAGATGGAGGTAAGTTGACGTTGTGTCGCTCATTTCAATAGAAATGCTTTTTAAATGTAGTATGGCATGATTTAATGATTATTTACTGATGGCAAGGTCACGGAGTCTATCGCTGTCTCCTTATTTAGAATGACATGTATAAAGTTAGCCGTCTTGGCCTGAAGCTTGACTGGCAGTGCATTTGTGCACTCGGACATGACGAGCTAGGCTAAGGTTAGCTACTCATGTTTAAAACACATTGTACATGATATCCAGCTCAACTATTTTTTCTGCCCTAGTAAGGTTAGTTCATTAACAGCAAATTAGCCAGCATTAAGCAATGCCAAGCTGTGCTAACGATGCTAACATAATGTGAGTGTATGCTAGCTGTAGTTTTTAAACCAGCATGCACGGAAGTCAAGACGTAATACAGAAATGTTATAATTTAGAGTGATAATACTTTTGACAAGTAATTGACTTTACTTTGCAAGGTACTATAACAGGGTGGTCAGGGAGAGGAAGGATTTGCGGACACTATCGAATCAGTGGCTGTACCTTATGAAGACTGGTATCTGGGCTGTAGGGAGAGTTATGTAAAGCTGTGTGTGTCAGGTGCTTCTCATTTTGTGTCTACGCTCTCCGGCTGCACGTATTTCTAACCTGTCGTCTGTCTCTCATGTAGGATGTGTGACTGCCCCTTCTTAGTCTACTTCTACCTGATATGGAGCGCCTGGGCCCAGTGCGCTACAGGATATAAAAGTCCCACCTTCCATTGTGGCTGGCTCTCTCCCTGACAGCACCTGCACCTTACTGCTTTGCTGAACCATTGTTTTTATTTTTACTCCACACCTAATCCCACAGTATATGAACACTACTTATTTACCACTGTTACTATCCAGGCTTCATTATCATAATTACTGTTACAACTTTTACACATTTTCATTTAAGTGTCTTAACTGTACATTCTTTCAAGTCATAAAAAACAAAAAATTTAATCTTTTTACTGCTGTTTTCATGAATGCAGGATAGGGTTTTAATTTGATTGATGGTTTCTTGTGTAGTGTAATCATTTGTGAAATAAAATCAGGCAAGATCTAATCATCAGTTCCATCCATCATCAACCGCTTATCCTGCAAACAGGGTCGCAGGACTAATCATCAGTTCCCTATGTTAATTTGAAACATAATAGTGATCTAAGCCTTTCACAAAATATGATGGTTAATAGTGGTAAAGGAAAATAATGAGATGGTATTTATAGGTTAACATGTTGAAAGCAAAAAATGGAAAGCAAGAGACCAGTGTGAAATCCACCTAGAAGTTATACTCAAAGAAATATTTGCACATTTGAATAGTTTTGAAGCTCCCTAGGAGGTGTCATTTATTGCGACCTCTGAGAAGTCTTGTAGATATTGCACAGGTATTGTGAGGCTTTACCTGTTTAGTGAGGCAAACGGAAAAAAAACAAATCAGCTGATAGAAAGTACCTATTAAGGAGGGTTTTTAATCATGGCATCATTTAAGCTACAAACAAATACAGCCATAACACTGTTCACTGATTAGCACCAGCCTTCCACCAACACTTTGCGTCACAGACTGCACTTCTTCACAGGGAGGAGAAAAGAAGGGGAGAAGCCAACCAGACCAAGAGTCATCCGGCAGGTTGAAGATGCTTCCTAAGCTCTCTGCAGCTCTCTGGCCACCATAGCTGTCACCAATGATCCACACTGCAACTATGGGAGGAAAATAAATCCATCCATCATCAACCGCTTATCCTGTGTACAGGGTCGCGGAGCCAATCCCAGCTGGCATCGGGCTAAAGGCAGGGTACATGCTGGACAGGTCACCAGTCCATCGCAGGGCCACACATAGACAGACACCCACTCACACCTAAGGACATTTTATGGTCACCAATTAACCTAGTCCGCATGTCTTTGGATGGTGGGAGGAAGCCGGAGCACCCGGAGAGAACCCACGCAAACACGGGGAGAACATGTAAACTTGCAAAATTTATTAACTTGCAAAACTTTCTGACTTGCAAGGAAAACTTTTTAACTTGCAATCAATAAGGACAAATTAGCAATTAAAATTTTGGGACACAAAAGAAGGCCTGTTTATTTTTAATTTACAAACTTATTTTTTGATTGCAGTGTGACAAATATGCTCTCAAAATTAATTCATTAACCCTAGTCAAACCTTAACCAGAGCGGTGTAATAATAGAAAACTGTATTATTTGTGAAACAACTGAATTGTTGATTCTCAACTTATTAGCTGTTGAATTGTTACAAATAGCCTAAACTATCTGTAGGTAGACAATCCAAAAAAATGTTTGTAATCTATGAATATTAATAATATTTTTTATTTAATGTTATAGGCTATAATATTATATTAAATTAATTTACTAACATATCATTTTAAACTACTTACTTACATGACAAAAGTCAGTAACACAGTAACAATTCAAAATAACTCACTATTTACTTAACATACGACTTGAACACTGTTCTCCTGTTTCAGGGTCCTGGGTTTGACCCATTAGTTCGCTCCACCTTCTAATGACTTGCTATTTATGATATGTCATCCTGCTTCCTCCTTTGCTACTGTTGTTCCACCACCAGAGGTTGCTGCCACAATAAATGAAAATAGGGGTAGTAATAACGTCCTACCAGAAATTACCAATTTGGTTGTTTTTTCCCTTTTTGTCTGACTTCAGATGCTCAGTTGTGTTTTGAACTAAATACTAATATTTTTATGCTAACATGCAAGGTCAACACATTAACTCGCAAGTTAGCATTTTAACATTTATACATATCGACATAGTAAAGGTGTACTATACTGCAGTGGTAGTTTTTGAAGTTCTGAGTTGTTTGTGATGCTGTAGGAAGCCATTGTAACTGCTGTCAATCCAAACTCACTATAGCTGCCGCTGTCTATGAAGGAGGAAGATTCAAAATGTTTTTGAGGTGCCCTGATTGAGAATGCTTACCCTCACTGCTGCTGCCAACCGGATCTAAAAACAGAAAAGACACAACACCAATAATAGAAGTAAAAATTTGTATCTCATTTTAAAGGATATATTCACATATTTTCAAATCTGTCTTTCATATAGTCAGGTGCAATCCTGCTGTTTATACTGGCCATTAAAAGATCCCTTCTTAATGTGCTTCCAATGGAGCAGTTGCAGACAAAATTCACATTATTTGTTCTGTGGGAAAATGTATTTCAGATTATCTAAGGCGAATATAAAAGTTATAATGTTTTTAGTATGCTAATCCTTTGTTGTGTTACTATTCCTCCACAGCACTTAGCTCAGAAACACAGTTTAGGGAAATACACCGCTCAAAAAATTAAGGAAACACTTCATCATCACAGTGCAACATCAAGTCAATTTAACTTTTGGGATATCAATCTGTCCAGATAGAAAGCATAAGCAATTGTGAGTCAGTGTCACTTGTTTAGGTGCAAAATGAAGCGACAACAGGTGAACTTGAGAGGCAGCAGCAAGACAACCCTCAAAAAGGGGATTGTACAGGTGGTGGCCATAGACAATTACGTCTCCTTATCCTTTCTGATCAATTATTCTCTTGTTCTCTAGTTTTGCATTTTGCTAGTATCCTTGTCACCACTGGTAGCATGAGGCAGTACCTGCAGTCAATTAAGCCAGTGCCCTACAAAATGACCTCCAGCAGGCTACTTCCATTGGCTTTTCTTTTGCCTGTTCTCTTCACAGATGAAAGCAGGTTCATACTGAGCACATGTGACAGACGTGAAAGAATCTGGAGATGGCGTGGAGAATGTTATGCTGCCTGCAACATCATCCAGCATGACCAGTGCGGCGGAGGGTCAATGATGGTCTGGCATGGCACATCCTTGGAGGGTCGCACAGGCAGGTAGTCATAGTGTGCAGGCAGTTCCTAGATGACGAAGGTATTGATGCCATTGACAGGCCCTCACTTTCCCCACACACCTGAATCCAATTGTCGTGAGTGCATACAGCTACATGTAGGCCATTAAAACTAACGAGTCACATTATGATTTGCTGTGATGAAAGTCATGCCAGTCGGATCAACATGTGATTTAATTTTTAAGTGTGATTTTTGGTGATTTTTGTCATTTTGTTCACAACAAATTATACAATGTTTTGTTCATCGAGATCTGATGTGTGACGTAAGTGTTCCCTTTGTTTGAGCAGTGTACCCAAACAGAATCTTGTACTATAGGACAATAACTTTGGAAAATATTAACTTGTTTTGATTAAGTTGGGCAGCTAACTGAGAAAATCGTGTACAGAGCACCTAGCACTCAACTCTCTGACTATCTTCCAGGTAGTGACAGAACTTCACTAATAAAAGTAAAAATTGTGTACCTACTTTGGTGGAGAAAGACGTCTATCAGATGCAGTTGACTCTGTTTCTTTCACAATGCAAGGTGCTGTCTCAGTGAATACAGTTAGAAGTGAGTTACATTTTTGTAGAGGACAGGCTGACACGGACAAATCCACATGCCCTTATTTGAACATGTCTCTAAGTATTTGACACACAGCCCTTTGGAGGTCTTTGATTGGCTGATACTATACTTAAGGAAGGGCAGTTTTTTCTGTAAAGTAATTTGGTCTAAACAAAACTTAGGAAACCCCACACTTTGCATTTAAGAATCATACTTGTACTTTTCTAAATTTTGTTTTAACTTGATATGTTTTGCTAAGATTGTTTTTGCCATCTTTCATGGGGATTATTATGGAGAGTTATCAGTATTTCTCAAAATGGGGGATTTTTCCTTTAAGTGAGAGACAACACAAATGTGTTTCACAATATTTTATGCATGGAAGTGTTCGTAGAATCAATACAGGTTTAGCTAAGGGGACAACAAACCACCAAAACACACTAACAGATCCACACCTACCATCATATCCCTTGTTATTTGGAGTTGCGTTTGTTTCCACCTGATGAATGTAAGTTCAGTGTTCACTCTTATTTTAGCTCTTTGTTGGTCTCTAGCATATGCGGAGAACAAATATCTGACTCTTTCTTCGAGAGCTAGTGTCTAACTGTGTGTGTCTGCTGTTTGGTGCTGGGCAGGTAGAGGACAGCGGGTTTATCAGAGCTGTTGTCTGCTGCTGCTGGAAGCAAGGATAATGAGAGCGCTGAGACTGAACCAGACATGAAATACACCATCAAACCAAAATAATGAGAGAAAAGAGACTAAAAACTCAGTTGCTTTTTCTTCTGTTGTTGAAAGGCCTTTTGAGACTTTGTGCTTTGTTTCTGATGAACTGTCTTGTGCTTTGGACAGTATTGCCAAATCGGCCCCTTCATCCTGACTTGCAGATTGAAGATAATACAGCAGAAATACAGAAGGAAATACAGAGTCATGTTACTGCCTCCTGCACTTGTGCTGTGAGGTAACTCTGACAGCAGGAGCTGGCTGCACCAGCTGTTGTTAAGACTAGTTATAGTGTAACTGTTTACTAAGTTGAGATAAAAAGTAAAACAGGTTGCACTCCACAAACAACTTCTTGTGTAGGATGAGTTCTTACTAAATATTTAAAGAGATAGTCCATTTTTGAAGTGGGCCTGTATTGAGGAACTTATCCACCCCTGTCATGTCATGTTTTACCTGCAGTATATCAGAATCAGAAATACTTTATTGATCCACGAGGGGAAATTCTGTGTCACAGTTGCACACATTGCACATCAAGGCAAAAGGAATATGAATAAAGATATAAAGTCGGTATATAAAGAAGTATAGAAATATCAGAGGAAAAATATCAAATACAAGGAATATAAAGGAGTGTGGATTTGTACAATATTTACATAAAAATAATTGTTATGGTGAACAGTAATAATGAATAAACTTTTGCAGCAGAGAGTGTTACACATTAAGTATTTAAACAGGTACTATTGCACTTTGAGCAGCACGTCATGGAGTGGGGTGGAAGACATTGTCCAAGATGACAAGTAGTTTGGGTAGCATCCTCCTGTCTGACAGCTCCACCCCCATAACGTCACTGGCTTTGCGGATCAGTTTGTTGAGCCTGTTAGCATCTGCTACCCTCAACCTGCTGCTCCAGCATGCACCAGCAAACAGGATAGCTCTGGCCATCACAGACTCATAAAAGATCCTCAGCATCGTCCTGCAGATGTTGAAGGACCTCAGCCTCCTCAAAGAATAGAGACAGCTTTGGTCCTTCCTGCAGAGGGCTTGAGTGTTCTTGGCCCAGTCCAGTTTATTGTCAGTGGGCACTCCCAGGTATTTGCAATCCTCCACAATGTCAACACTGATCCCCTGGATGGAAACAGGGCCCACTGGTGCCTTGCCTATCCTTCGATCCACAACAAGCTCCTTAGTCTTTGTCACGTTGAGCTGCAGATGGTTGAAAGCACTGGAGAAGTCAAAGATAATGACCCTCACAGTGCTAGAAGGCTTGTCCAGGTGGGCGTGCAGTTGAGCAGGAAGATGATGACGTCCTAAACTCGCAGTTGGGGCTGGTAGGCGAGCTGGAGTGGGTCCAGGAGAGGTCTGACCATGGGTCGCAGCTGTTTCAGAACCAGTCCCTCCAAGGTCTTCATAATGTGTGTCAGTGCCACAGGTCTGTAGTCATTGGAGCAACTGGGACGTGGCATCTTTGGCACAGGAACAAGGCAGGATGTCTTCCACAGCACAGGGACCTTTTTGTGGAAGACATCTTGCTTTGTTCCTGTGCTAAGTATATGGTGGTCAGCGTGACCCCAGAAAAGTTGTTTCAGTGTGGAATCTAAGCAATGGACTGCTGTGGACAGGGTCAGTTACCTCTGTTGCAGTTTTGTGTTTTGGTGTGATATGTGTATTTGGGAAATGATTTGTAGGAGCATAGAGTACAATAATACAAGTATTGTAAATACTGAGGATATTTAAGTTAATTTCTTTATTTCAGGTTAAAATGTAAAAATCTGAACATATTCTTGTACAAAATGTAAAAAAAAAAAAATCCTTGGATAGATGCAGAATGTACATACATTAGAATGTGATTGTGAGCATATTGAAATGCTGACATTTGCATTAAGGTCAAAGCACTGTGGTCTCAATTACAGCCTCACATAGCTGCTAGCATGGCTTTAGACTTGTACCCTTTTCCTCCTTTGCGTCTGCTCATTCCTGTCACGATCCTGTCCTGAGCTTTTTTTTTATTATTATTTTGGCCATTCCTTCTCTGTGTTTTGATTTTGGTTCCTCTGTGTCTGGGTTTCAGTCCTGTTTTTGTGTCTTGTTGGGGAGTCTGGGTTTTTGTTCCATGTCTTTGTTCCTAGTCCTGTGCCTTAGTTCATGTCGTAGTATTTGCTTCTAGTTCTTTCTCTGCATCATTTTGGTTAGTCTGCTCGGTACTCTGTGTTCTAGTTCTGTGTTCTTGTTTAGGTTTTGTCTGTTATGATCCCTGTGTTATAGTTGGTCAGTGTTTGTCTGTTCACATGGGTTTCTGTTATTGTCTGAAGTTAGATTCTTGTCTGTTATTTTGTTACATGTGTTCTGTCCTGTCTGTTTTCCCTGTTGGTGTTAGTTTTGTTGTGATCTGTCCGTTTGTGTCTGAGTCTGTCTAGTTAGTTTGTTGTTTCTGATCTGTTACATCTTGTGATATAACCTGTGTTGTGTCTGTTACCCCAGTAATTCCTCTGCATGTCTGTCTCTGTTTTCCCCTGCTCTCTCTCTGCCTGCCTGTGTCTTGTTAGCCTCATGTCTGTCACCTGTGTTGCTCCCGGCCCTGCTCGTTAGTCCCTGTGTGTATATATACCTGGTGTTTCTGTTTAGTGCTTGTCCAGTCATTGTGGTGTTTTGTAGTGTGATACGCTCTGTCATGTGTAGCTCTGTGCTTGTCTTGTCTCTGCCCTGTCTGTCTTGGATCTGTACCCGTTTGGTATTGATGGGCAAAGCGAGGCTTTATGAAACATTGAAACGTTTGAAGCAATTGTGCCGAAATTGTGTCGAGGCTTCAAAACACTTCGACACCCGTCTCCACGGTGACACCTACTGATATCGATTGATATCAACGCATCTTAGTAGGGGTTTCATTGAAACAACGACTGACCAGCATTTACAATTCCAAACGTCTCATCAATACATGAGCAACACGATTTTGGAGAAATCACCATGCAACAAACAAACAAATGCTTTCAGATTGTCTGAGACAGCAGATGGGGATTGCAATTAAATCTGTTTAATAAAACACATCTGTGTGTTGTTTAATAAGTAATCACTGATTTAGCGGAGGCTTTTCTCAAAGCAAATCACAATTGCTGTGTCAGAGGGTGCACTTTGGAGCAACTAGAGGTTAAATGTCTTACTCAGTGACACACGTATCACAGTAGGAATCGAACCCACATCTCTCACACTAAAGGCATATGTCTTAACCACTACCCTATTCATTTTCACAATCAGAACACTTTATTGATCTACGAGGGTGAATGCTTTGTTACAGATACTCGCAAGGCCTAAACGGAATAGAAATAAAGTTGAAGTTAGTGAATAGAGAATATAATAAAGTATACAAATCTAAGAATATAGTAATAAATGTGGATATCTACAGTATTACACAGTAGCTTATTAACAGGTGTAATGATAATTAGCAGGAAAGATATAGGCCCTAGTGAAATAATAATTAATAATGAGTGCTGCAGTGATGAGGTGTAATGGATTAAAAAAGATTGATAAATGAAAAAATGTCTCACATTTGTTATATGTCAAGAATTGTATTCAGAAATATTCAGCTGTGGCTGAGTCGTGTTTTTTTCATAATCGCAGGTTCCAGCAGGTGTCCCACCTGTCAAAACAGGGGTGAAACGCACCGAAGCCTCATTCATTGCGGTCACGTGACATTGACGTTTTGAACCACGCTTTGGAGCAGTGTTTCGAAACGTCTGTGCTTCGGGATCTCGACACAGCGTCGACACGTCAGTGTCGAGCGTCACATTCCCACCGTTTGGTCATCTGTTTAATCCACTCTGTCAGTAAGTATGCTCGCCTTTTGTTTTGCCACAATAAACCCTTCTGAACTGTACCTGCTCCGCTCTGCGTCCTGCATTTGGGTCCATCAATCTGCCTCACCACACAAACCCTGACAATTCCTCTCCCTTTTCCTCCTCTGTGCCTGTCCTCTTTTGTGTCAGTACCCCTGCCTTCATTTCTAATAATTTCAAAGCTTTCACCTGGATTAGAACCATCATTTCCATTACCATTATCAGTGCCACTTAGAGAGGTGGACACACCTTCACCTGTAGTAAAATAATTTCTTTCGCTGTCATCAGTTTGTGAGGAGGAAACATCGTCACCTGTAGGATCAGGGCTTCTTTTTCTTCTGCCACCCCTTCCTCTGCCCATGCCCCCTTCTCTTCCACTGCCACCCTGACCTCGACCTGTGTCGTCATCTATTGCCCAAATAGAAACATATTTGTGAGGAGGAACCACCTCTGCCATTTTGAGGCCTTATAGAATAAGAGAATGGCCAGCTTTGGCTGCGACCAGGCTTTGTGTCATCTGAAACACAATAGTGCGCAACTTTATCTGACTTTTTTATCCAAAGTGACTTACAATTGGTATACATGTCAGAGGTCACACACCTTAACAATGAGGGTTAAGTGTCTTGCTCGGGGACACAATGGTGGGTGGGTCACAGTGGCGAATTGAACCCTGGGTCTCTCACATCAAAGACAGGCGTGTTATCCATTGCGCCGTCACCACCCCAACTTGATTATCACCAGAGCAGCTGCTTCACTGCATTCGATGATTGTTGAAGGGCTCCACTACGGTGTTCGTCAGTATTGATCAAACCAGTGTGGGGTGTGAATATTGTAGAAAACACAACAGCATAATTATCCCATTGACGGATGCGATTTATCCTTTGGAGAATGTTCTCACAATGTGTGTCGCTTGAAAATTTTCCAAACAACAAATCAGGATCATTAGCATTATTAATGTTGAATGGGTGGTCCAAGTGGTTTACAACGCGTGACTCCGCATGATCAGCTTCTCTATTGGCACGTTTCAGAGCTTTGGCTGCGACCACCCTGGTGGTCTTATTCTTCACATCTTCGCCTGGATCACTTTTAAAGACTCGCTGAAGGAGATCTTTCATTTTTTGTTTCTGGTTGTCGGGATCCTTACAGCCAGGCTGAACATACCTGTTGATTCATACTTGTCAATCAAAAAACAAAGGCATGGATAAATTGATGAACTTTCTTTGTGGGAACTCTGGTCTGAGTTGTTGAAAACAAAAGACAATTGACTCTTGCTGATTGAATATTATAATCAAAAATAGCTTACATATTTCTGGCAACGTGTGCTATCACTCAACCAAGATGGCAGGCAGGATTGTTTATTCTCTTGGGAATCTCTTGGGCAGGATCTCTTAATAATTAATTTCTTTCAAATTGGTTACCTCTTTTGTGTCATTGTTCAACACTTAAACTAGGCCTAGTATAAATAAATCGAAAGGTCCGCATAGGGAGTTAGTCGGGGGTGGTTGAATGGGTCAAATACAGGACTTTCACCCAGTAGACTGGTGTTCATAGCCAATGGATCTTAACCAAACGTCCACATGTGACAAGTTGGAAGGAAGAACTTGTTGAAATTACAGCTCTAGCCACATTTCTGCAAGGTCTATCTGTACCTTATTGCATCATCCCCCCACACTGCGGCTTCTAGTGATGGTCTGAACACGTCCTTATGAAGCAAAATTCTTTCAGTAAATGATTAAGAAGTCAACTCACTCTCTCAAGATGCCATTTACAATTGTTGCAAGCCTGTTCTGGTCCACAGCAACCAAACTGTTTTCAGTGGACAGGAAGAAGGCCAGAGTTACAGTCATCCAGCACAGGCCAGCCATCTGCACACATATCAGAGTGTTGAAAACAGGGGAAATAATACATTTAATGTATATGACAGTGTCAAAATGTAAATACAAATAGGCCTATTTAATCTGCTGCAGGTGCTGCCATTTCACTGACAGTGTTCTATGGTATTAAACACAGGGTATGTCAGCACTTTCCATAATCTTCACATTTATTATTATGCAATATATTAAAATGTACAAAAGAGACACCTTGAAGTTGTTGCTCAGTGTTTGATGTTTAGTAGGACTACTGAAAATCTGGGATATTTAACATTATATATTTTTTATTTTATTTTATTAAGTGTTGAGAAATTAGGTAGCAGTTTTTAAGGCCAACATTTACTAACCTTTGTGTTTACTTACTGTATGTACTGAAGTGCATTTGAATGCAGTTGTGATTGCTTAGCTTACAGAAAAGTGAACATAGTACTACATAGTCAACCCAGAGTCACAATGTCAAACTGTATCCAAACCACAGAAACCACAGCATAATCTATTTCTTCATCGTAGATATTAAAGTTCACTTTGCTGTCTGTTACTCTCTCATAAGTTGTGGCTCAGACTAATTCAGGCACACAAATTCTGAGCAGGTTATGAGTATGAAGTGTGTTTACACTGAACAAATGACTAGAAAACATTTGCACTATTCCTTGCAAGTAGTGTACAAACAAGTCAATACTGTACTAACTAACAGGAAACGTGTCAATTGATACATTTCAGTTAAACTGCGACTTTTGAATTTCCCAAGTAGATATCAGAGAACATACCTCCTGTTGTTGTTTGTTAATTTTCATTTGTTGTTTTTTTGTAGATATGAGTGGAGCCTCCAGTTCCTTTACATAATAGTGTCAATCAAGAGAACATGCAAAAACGCTTCGACTATACTTGAGTCACTTTTAGTGTGAACCTAATGTGGTTGGGCACATATAGAATAAAGTAAAGCTCTCCAGATGACGGGTCAGCTACGACCACTCTCGGCTTCTATAGGGCATAATGCTTCATTAACTTTTTTTGGGAAAACTCAATTAAAGGCCTACTAATTGCATTAGTTGAGAGAGCTTCCTCTTTAGAATCAAGCTAAATACAGCCAAGTGAAAATATTTTACCTTCTTTGTTGGAGACAGCTGTCTGATGGATGCTGTCCACTTCTTCTGTTTTCTTCTCAGTGTTAGAAGTGAAGGTGCTGCTGCGGTGACTACAGTCAGAAGGAAGGGCGTTTTCATAGAGAGCAGTCAAACGCTTAGAGTCATGCCATGCCCTTTTTTGAATATATTTTTCACAACACTGCAGTAGATTCTTTCTTGTCTGTGTCTTTGAAATGTGTCTCAGATTTTACATCATCACCAAAGGAAATCCAATTAGCACTAAATTATATTCACATTTTAATGTATTTAACAAATGTGGTGTGGCTCTGCAATATCCTGGGCCAAGCAGTAATCATATATCACTAAATAATTTAATGCATTAATATCTAAAAATATATATATATATATATACATTTAAGGAGACAATTATTTTGTATAAGATGCTTTTGTTGTCATATGCTCAAGAAGAGTACAGAGGAATAGAAATTACTGATCAAACATGTCACTCCAGTTTGCCCTTTTGATCATGATGTAACATCTCATAAACTCTAGTTGACCCAGCTTCATTCATAAAATGGTGGGTTTTCAGTTTTGTTGCTTACGTGTAATCATGCATATCTTCCACCACTGGGTTACGGACTTGTTGTGGCTAACATGTTGCTGGACATGCACACAGTTTCCTACTTACACAACCAGCAGACATGAAGAAACATTGACCTTTATTAAGAGTTGTGTTTTTGTCATCTTAATGAATTCAAAATATTCACTCTTTTTTCTGCGGTTTGGTCTCCACCAACTCTGAGAAAAATATCCTGCTCTTTAGCTGCTAAATGCTCCACTATGTTCACCAGCTAGTCTCTCACTGTGTCTGTCTGCTGTCTGATGCTGAGCACATGGTGTACAGTATCTTTATCAGAGCTTGTTGGATGAAAACAGCTGGAAACAAGGACAATGAGATGCTGAGACTGAACCAGACAAGAAATGTGGTGAAAACCAACACTATGAGCTAAAAGAGGCTAAACAACGGTGCAGGTTATAACTCAGCAGGTTTAAGAAAATAAACAAAATAAGGCAACAAACAGTAATATCATCCATCCATCGTCAACCGCTTATCCTGCGTACAGGGTTGCGGGGGACTGGAGCCAATCCCAGCTGACATTGGCCAAAAGGCAGGGTCCACCCTTGACAGGTCGCCAGTCCATCGCAGAGCCACACATGGACAAACAACCACTCACACCCAAGGACAATTTTTAGAGACACCAGTTAACCTTGCCTGCATGTCTGTGGATGGTGGGAGGAAGCCGGAGCACCCGGAGAGAACCCACACGGACAACATGCAAAATCCCCACAGAAAGGCCTGGAACGACCAAGGTTCAAACCCACGACTTTCTTGCTGTGAGGTGACAGTGCTAACCACTGCACCACCGTGACGCCCCAGTAATATCAAATGAAATGTATGCTGTATGTTTTGTGTTCTTTCTTGTCATTCAGAGTAACTTTATTTTTTTAAATACACATTGTGTACTGTTGCTTAATCCTCAGAACAGTCCTTCGCTTTGTTTATGAAGGAAATGTTTTGTGTTTCTCACAGTAAAACCAACTGTTCACTCTGACTTGCAGATTGAGGATGGAGATAAAGAAGCTTACTCCCTTCTACACTTCTGCTGTGAGGTAAAAAAAGAGGAAGAGCCGGGGAACATAGTGAACGGCACGAACATTTCACAGTTTTACATATTGTAATTTACAGTGCAAAAATGTGGACAGTGTACAGTCTCTCACATGAGGAGAGAAAATAGAAGAAATGGACAGAAAGTGTACAAACAAAAACAAACAAAACAAAGTTTGAAGAATATGTCTCAGCTCTGACCTGTTTCCTGTCCGGCCTTATGAAATTCTCTGCAGTGTCACATGCTGCACTCTGCTGGAACTCAACCCTGAGCTCATTCATGTCATTAACCCTGATGTAAAAGGCCCTGACTTTAGGAAACTCAGAGTTATGGTTCTTAAAAGTGGAGTAACAAAAGTTCAGTTTACGTTCACTGTTTTTACCAGAGCACATTGATTTGTCATTGAGGCTTAATTAAGATGTTGGATGAATTTTCTTCTTCCTCAAACATTTGCAGTTCCGGTTTTTACAAGAATTTCAATTTGCATTGTTTCCATCCATGGCTAATTCTCCACACATTCCTGCATTCCCGTTAAGTCTGCAAAAAATATTCAAATCGTGCATGAGGGCCTTTTGTCGCAAACTGTAGTACTTTATGCACACTTTATGTAATTCCACATCTCTACAGACTTTGACTGAAGGGATAACTCAGAGTTCATAGTGTTGTAACATTAAACACAGGGTTACCAAGGGAAACCAGGAGGCATTAAAAAAGATAAGTGGCGTTTACATCCAAGTGTTATGAAAAATAAAAAACAAGTAATTTGATTATTAATTAATAAGTCCTCCAGTCCAATCTTTAAGGCAAGACTCAGCAGGAGTATGTTTTGGAAAAATTTTTGTTTTATCCAGTCCATCTCAGTGTTTACAGTAGAGTAATTTAGTGTGTTCTTATATTGTATAGTGTACAGTATAGTTTAGCATGGTGTTGTGTGGTTGAATGTAATGCAGTATCGTGTGGCGTGGTATTTGCGTGCATCTCTCTTTAGACAGACACTGTTAATCTCAATGAGGAAGGAAAGGCTCAGTTAAATTATTAAATGTAACTGTATGTAAGTGAAAAGGATTGTTGTTTAACAAATAAATGAACTGTTAAATGATGGACACACACACATCACAGAATAGATGCTGAGCCAAGCTTTAATCAGAAAGAACAGAATATCTTTCATTTTCCAGTATTTAGTTTAATTATAGAATTGATGAATGGCGTCATAATCAAAGTTATCTCCCCAGACACAAAGAGATATTAAAGAGGTGTTTTAATGCTGAAGGCTTTTAACTGTAAATCACCACAGTGGACGGAGACGTTCCCAATGTTTTGTTTAACCCTCTAAAAGGAGCACCTGCAGGGCCTCTTATGCAGCTTTTCTACAACATGAACATGTGATTGCATCCTTAAAGGCTGGGTATCAAACCATGATATGTCTAAGTCCTGATTGGATTGTCGAAAAGTTGGTAGCACTTTTCAGATTCTTTTTTCTTGTCCTTGGCAGAGGCGGAGCCAAATGTTATAAACATTAGGGGCTTTGCCCAAACCTAGGGGTGGTCCGTTTTTCCATTAAGCCTGTTAAATGCACTATTTTTCATGCTGTTTGAGATGATAGAATGCCTAAAAATCTATACACTATCTGAGAAAAAGATAAATGTTTCTATGGAAAATAATTGTCCTGTGGAGCCTTCAGTCTAGTTTTTATTTAATTGTTCTCCAGCTCAAAAAATGTTGAGGATCAGTCATTTTCACTTCTGGCAACTAAAAAGAGACTTAATTTATCTTATGTTACTATTTTTAAGGTATGGTAGAAATATGTAATAAAGTTTCTGATCATCATTGGAGGTGGGAATCACCAATGTGCAGTTAATCCACCTGCTGTGATGCCTGTTCTTCCTCTTCCCTAGCTGACTCATCTGTATGACAAAATAGTCCCTCAAACACAATCAGATCAGCTGACATTAGCTAGTGAGTAATGATAGGTGTATGAAGCATTATGAAGCTTTGGGGCTTTAAGCTAAGCAAACACAGTTGCAGCTGTAAAACTTTTAGACTGAGGTCAAAACGCCACCATAACTCGCTGATACCAATAACTTTAGTCTCATGCGTGCAATAAAAGTCAAAAAGTGTTAACCCAACCTGACGGTTGATATTTATGAGGTTCAGACAGTCATATTCATTAAATTAGCCTATTATTACTGTTGTTACATTAGTACAGGAGCATCTCAAATCTAGATAAAATTCTGAATATGGGGTTAAGTTAATTGTGAGCACCAGAACCAGATTGAGAGATTAAAGGCTTAAGACACTTTTGCAGGTGTTTTGAGTTAATTAGCTGATAAGAGCTCTTCTCAGGTTGACATTTCTGTATAATCAATAATTTATTCTGAAAATCTAATAGATTTTGGGATACTAGAGTTTTGATTCTATGAGCTTTAAGCCCTAAACATCACGCCCTGATATGATCATTTGATGCAAGCTCAAGTACAATGTATTGAAACAGTGCTTCACAGGAGGGAAACGAGCCGAACATCACTAATAGCGAGATAATATCACCTAATAACATCTAATTAGGCAGCAATACAGTCACTTAACTCAAGTGTTAGAGCTTTTGCTCTGTTGTTTTGCCGCTCCAGTCAGAAAGACGGAGGGGAAATGAAACAAAGTTGAACTTCATCAGATCCGGGGCTTTTGACAAAACATTCGGGGCTGTAATGAAAATTTGTCCTTTAGTGAGTCTTCTGAAATAAAGATTCCAATCCAGACGTCTTTTAAGGGTTTTATTCTTTGCAAAGGGTCAGACAAACTTACAGAGTGCAAAACAGTCTGCAGAGTGTAAGACAAAAAGCCAGTGAAGGAGCAGGTGACTTTATATTACTCAGGAAGCAGAAGAGCAAGGGAGTAGGGACCAGCTGTCCTGAGTCAAAGGCCTATCAAGGTCAGTCAGATAAGAAAACTTCTCTAATGAGCATCTTTCCCATGGGTGGAAACATGATAAAATATCAAATACCATACAGTGAGACCTTTGTATATTATAATGGAGCATGCAGGGTGAAACAGTAAACAGAGTAAAATATCCAATTTCCATCACAGGGCTTAAGCCCAATTAGCCACCCCCCGCTCCGCCTATGGTCCTTGGATCAGATTTAACTTGTTTTTATCCCCAACCTTGAAATTTTAATTACTTCGGTCCTTGTTGCTGCTAACTCTACTGACTGTCCTGAACCAACCTGTACTCTGGCATAAATGGGAGTCATTAAATCGGGGATTAGCAACTAAAAGAAACAAGTGCTTTTAAATCATAAGGAATCTTTTTATCTCAGTAGCAGGAGGTTTATGGGACTGCTGTGGATCAACAGATTTACAGGGACGTGCACAGAGATTTTGAGACGGAGTGGCACACATCATTACTGTACTTAGGTATAATACTTAAGTAATTTTACTATACTTGAGTATTTCCAATGAATTGTACTTCTATATTTCAGAAGGAAATATAGTACTTTTTTTGCTGAATAATATATGTATATAAAACATATGATTCTCTTATAAAATGTGTATTTTTATGTTATTTTTACATTTGATACTTTTAGTACATTTTGAAGATAATACGTTTACTTTTACTTTAAAAGTACCGGCACCAAGTTTAACAGGAATCCAGCCTGCTGTGGTCAGAGGTCTGAGATACATCTTTCAACCCAGTGACACGATGTTTTTCCTTCTTCCAAAAAATACTGTGAAGTTACTTGAGTAAATTTTGAATGACTTTTGCTTGTAATGGAGTATTTTTACACTGGTAATTCAATTGCTCTTTCACCCTTTTAGAGGTCAAAACCTTGACAGACTACCTTTCAGTACACAACATGAATACTTTTTCTTTAACTTGTTGCCCAGTTACCTGATGTTCTTAACAATGGTGATTTAGTCTAATAACTAATAAAACATTTCATTATGACAGCTGTGGGGCAGTATACTTTTCACATCCCTGCAAATCTATGTGACCTGAATCACAGCAGTCCTTAGAAATTATCTTCCCTCCTGCCACCTCCATCACCTGACCTCAACCTAAAGTGGAGGTCACATGAGGGTGGCTGAGACTAGGTTATGGTTCGTCTGATAAACACTGAGGTGTAATTTGACCACGAGAAGAGCAAATGGTACAACCTGTCCAACCACGTACTCTGTCACAACGGAATATGTTGTCAAGACCGACTGATGTCCCAAGCTGCATAAGGGCTCCCTTTAGGTCCTCCACAAGCATGGGATCACCTTGGCGTTTGTACATCTTGCTGCACAGGGGGAGGCATAAACATAAAAAAGCAACAAATCATCTTTGTCACTATTGTTGACCAAGGTGTTAAAGTGCTGCAGTGTACGGTACTCGGTGATCAGCTGTACCATCGCGAATGGCACCAGGGCACACTCTCTGTAAATCATCCCATGTCACAACACTGGGACATTGTCTCAGAACATGACGCCATGACACAAGTCCACTAGGACACTGATTCAGAACATTGGGCCACTTTAGAAGTGTAGCTGCAACCACCCTCGTGCCCCTGTAAACGTCACAGTTTACAATCGTGTTCCTCACTTGTTCAGCATTGTCAAGGACTTGATTGACATCATACTTTTTCATAGTATTGTTGTATGGGATGCTCACAGCCAGACTGAACATTGGGAATGTTCTGTTAAAAGAAACAAACAAAAACAAACAGGTATGTTCGATAATTTAAGACACAGCAGAATTATAGAAAGTTGCATACAAGTAAGTACTGAATGGTAAACAAAACTAAACAACAGACTTAAATCATTTTATTCAAAATATCTGTCAGGTTTGTACTTTAGCTTTCATTTTCATCTATCTGAGCTGGATATGTCATTTTAATTGATACTGTACCCAGTGTTGTGTATAACAGTCCATCAACAGACATGGAATGTTGTAGTGGGTATTAGTGTTGTAGTCAAGACCAAGACCAGAGTTTATCGAGACCGAGACAAGACCAAGACTTTTAGGGGCTGAGAGCAGTCGAGACCAAGACCAGTTCCCTGCATTGTGTGGCACGTAATAAAATGTGGAACGAGATCACAGGTAGTTCTCAAATTGATCTGAAAGATCCACATTCACATTAAAACACCCACATACATATGGACGACTGTGGCTCAGGAGGTAGAGCGGTAGATGTAGTGTAAAAGCGCTGTGAGTGGTCGAAAAGACCAGAAAGGCGCTATACAAAGAGCTGAAATCAACGTAAGCATCACAGGGAGGGGTGTCATTAATTAGGGTTATTAGTTGCATTTAAAGCAATATGTTTATCAAAGTTAGGATGTTAACAAATAAATCAGACAATACAAAAGCAATTTATTGATATTCCCAAAGTTATGGTCTTGACTGGTCTTGAAATAAAATCCTGAGTCCTCAATGTCCGAGACCGAGACAAGACAGAGTACAACAGTGGTCGTGAACGAGACGAGACCAAGACCATCAAAAAGTGGTCTTAAGAAAAATATTGGTCTCGAGTAGTACAACACTAGTGGGTATACAGTACCTACAGTCTGTGGAGTATATCAGTTTTTGCTCTGTCAGTCTATTGTACATGTTTTTATACATTGTCTGGTCAGTTTCCTTCTTTCTTTTGTTTCTCTCTGATTTAAAGAACATTGTAACTTTAAAAGTGATATAAAAACAACGTTTATGTTACTTACTGACTGCCATCTGGATTCTTGTAGCTTGGCCTGTACCTGCCAAAGAAAACAAGTACAGAACCGAAGTTGAAAAGAAAAAATTGATACGAAAGGATCATAAAATGGAATATTCAACCAGAATTACATTTTCAAAAAATCAATATGGAAAACTAAAATATTAGTAAACAAATGCTACTTGACAATAGTTTTTCATGCATATTGGTTATTTACATATGGTTATTTATGTTTATATTAACTTTTGATTAAAAAGTACAATTAAATATGTCACTCAATGTTTCTTATCCTTAACCACCTTAGAAAATCTTTATTCAAAATTGACTATCACTCAAAGTAATATTGTTTTAAATATTTCAATCAAATTTAAACCATATTGTTGCCCCTGTGTTTCCTGTGAATCTACTGCAGTATCAATAATTTGACAAATTAACATTAACAATAATTATTAACTTATACTAAAACTGGAATGGGAGTTGACCTGACAACATATTTATGATTATCTGTTTCTATGAGTTATATATTACTGGCAAACTGACCACATGTCCTTCTTGCTGAGCTTTTATTAAAAGCTGGCTGTTATGTTTGTTAGATAATCAGTAGCCTGGCATCAAATATTCATGGAGGGAGAAGTGACTCCTTTGATTGTACATACTGTTCACGTCACAACACTTCAAAAGAACATACATGGTAAACAATTTGAAATTTAAACCGCAGCGCCTTGAGGACACATCGATGGTGTTGAAGTGCATCATGTTTGTTTTCCCAGACTACGTTTTAAGCCACTTTAAACCACAGCTAAGCTAATGACAGAGCAACAGCCACTTTACACATACCAGGGTATTTGCAAGAAGCAGAGAATAGAGAGTCGAACAGCTCACCTGTTCACAATATCATCTACAATTCCTACAAGTTGGTTCTGGTCCACAACAGCAGCCAAACAGTTTCCTGCAGACATCAACAAGGCCAGTTTCACAGCCATCCAGCACAGGACAGCCATCTGGACACAGATCAAGTTTATTCAGTTGGATACAACTTAGAACCAGTGTCTGCGCATTTACATACGGTTTCGTGTAAATTTAATCCAGATGATTTCAAGTCTAAATAGTTCAAACACGGGCCTTCATGTCCTTGTGCATCTGCAGCGACTCCTTGCGCATTGAGATGAGAATGCGTTGGTCCCTCTGGATAATTCAGCATTGTTAAGTACAACTAAATGTTGCTAATAAATTTGTCAATATGTTCATATTTAACAATTGAATCAAGTAACCACGATAAAATAATCAAAGAGTCATCTCCACTTTCCGTTAACCATTCCTCTTATACTCTCAATTTCTTTTAGGTCTATTTATACTTTATATTAGAGTGCACGTTTTGTTTGTGTGTATGGTGGATGAGTAGAGACACCTGAACAAAAAATGTACATTATTCTTTATTTTTAGTTTATGTACCCGCAACCAAACTGCGCATCTCCTGTGCTACCCCGTCTCCTCCATGCGCGCACTGTTCAGACATTAAGTTATACAGTAATACAGGCTTCAGGTGGACACACACAGCGTCTGGCTAAACATACAGTCACGGACATTCACGGAAACTCTTTAGGTTTCTTTTTAAAACTGTAATCTATTTTGTGCTACATTTACCATTTATACCTTCGTTACAATTAGTCATATAAGTTATTTACTCTGCATTTTGCTGTATTTACCCAAATAAGCTGTCCTCCAAGCTGTTTGCTGTTACGCAGGAGAGCTTTCATCAGTGCGCTTGTGCCAGATATTAATGAGCAGGATGCACACATTTAGAAAATCAGACAAATACTTTTTTATTATAAGGTGTGGTTGTTCTACTAATTTAACTTCAATCAAGTAACTTCACCCTTTGCCACTGATGGCTGTGTTGGAAAGCAGTCTGCTTTCCTCTCATTGGGCAGAGCATGGATTTCTTTTGAAGGAAATTGTTTCTTTTCTCCAGTTTCCATTGCTATTTGTTTTATAGCGATGCCCGACGGTGAATTCATTAAACATAGTGTCGCAGGTGACACTGATCTTTGCTTTCACTCAGCAGGCTACCTGCAGTTATTTATTCAGGAAAAAATAATTCACCCATTCAAGGGAGAAAGTAAATATGGGTGGATAAAACAGGTCTGTTGGGCTTTACGCGTGACGCACAGCTTCCTCCTACTTCATTCAACAACGGGCTGCTTGCGTGTTATTGCCACAGTATTTTTTTACATTGTAAAGACTATGTTCATAGATATTTTAGGAATAATTTTGGGTGTCTGAGCTATTGGATAAGGCAGATCATTTGCAGTCCCCAAGAAAGTGGTTTGGTTGGCTAAAGCCTATCCATATCAAGATAACAACAGATACAGGCAACAATAGGCAAGGCAGCTACGTGTGATATTTTAAAGTGATCTTATTGATAACTTCCTAAAATAAACTTATTGCATTAAACAGAAAAGGCTAAAGTGAGACAGACTGAGTGTGCATCTTGGCTCTGAGAACAGCAGCTATTTGTAAAGTATCTGTACACAACATCACCTACAGGTGGATCAGGGCGTATTATGTGTATTTAACGATGAATAGCCAACGCGCCACAAAATATCTTGGTTATAGGCTGCAAAATATCTTAGCCAACATTTACAGATAGGTTGGATACAACATAGAACCAGACTTGTAAGTGCATTTACAGACGGGTTTGTGTAAATTTAATCCAGATGTCTTCAAGGTAAATAGTTAAAACCGACACTGACGTCGTTCTGCGTTTGGAGCAACTCCATTTCAAGGTTGAGTGACGCATCGCAAATGTCTGGACAATAAAATGACATTAATGTGAAGTACACGAAGCCCCTCTGAGTGTTGCTCATTATCCTATCAAAGCTAATTTAATCATTTAATCAGTAACAATAAAATAACCAAAGTTCAATTTCGGTTTAGTCAGCTGCCTCTCTACTCTCTTTTTCTTTCAGGCCTATTTTAAACTAGAGTGCACGTTTTGTTTATGTGTTTATTGGCTGAATAGAGACACCTGAACAAAAATGTACACCTATAAACCTATATAGGCTATGTACCCGCAGCCAAACTGCGCATCACCTGTGCTGCCCTGTCTCCTCCACACCCGCACCGTTCTGACATTAATGAAGTTATAGGCTACAGGTGGACAAAAGAGACGTGGCGTCTGGCTAAACCTACCAGTCACGGACATTTGGTCGCAGTACAAAAGGAACAATAAAGGTAAACATAGGCTACTTACACTTGATTTCGTCCAGAAAACAACAGAGATCCGAAGTGTGAAGCGTTACTGTGCATTCATGGGGTGTCGGAATAATCGGAGAAATGATTACCCGACTTGGAAAATTCACGTGAACCCGCCCTGAAGATAAACAACAAGTCGGATAGTCTGAGAAAATGTTGTAACACGAGTTGTTGACTTCATAGATGTAGAAACATAGCGGATAACAACGTTTGATTAATGGTGCGAAATCATGTATTGGATATAGCCTACTAATAGATGGACTATTGAGTTATAGGCTGGCTGTTAGTTTGCTGTCCATGTAGAGTTACCTAGATTCATTATGTAAGTTATTTATGAGCAGTAGGCCTATTTACAGTAGGCTACACTTAATATTTCAGTGGTAGGCTATATTTTGTCAGAAATTTTCATATTGTTCTTTTTTATTATTATTTAGTAGCCTACAGAGCTCACATTACAAACATATATAGAAACAGAGGATAGATAAATCACAACTTCAGTCACTCCATTTTTTCTTGTGTGTGAGGAATATCTCTAACACTCATAATGTGACTGGCATTTTCAATGTTTCTAATCTTTTATGGACAACCACTTAATGAAAGAAACAAAACAAAGTTGCGGATTCATTGACAATAAATCTAATTGCAAGTTGCACACCTGATATCTGATATAAATCTCTTCAGTACCTGTTTTATTGGATATATTTGTAAAATCCTGGAAGAGGCTTCTCTTACTTTATTACTTGAACAGTGTAATCTTCCTCTGTGTGCTACTTAACTTCACCATGATGCCCAAACCAAAGATTCTTGTTCACTCATGGTATTTATAAACCAGAGAAAGGCAATTGCCTCAAACCAAAAAACATAAAGTTGCACTGATAAAATGTTTGCAATGGATCACATGACTATGTATGTGAAACGGAGCACAGTGAGCTGGGCTTTCTATGTGGAGTTTGCATGTTCTCTCCGGGTGCTCTGGCTTCCTCACAACATCCAAAGACATGCAGGCTAGGTTGATTGGTGACCCTAAATTGTCCTTAGGTGTGAGTGTGTGTGGTTGTTCGTCTATGTGTACCCCGCCTTTCAACTGATGACAGCTGGGATTGGCTCCAGCACACCCGTACTAACCCTGTACGGTTGATGATGGATAGACACAGACATAACTCCAAATGAATAACAATCTTACTGCGTATCTGTAGCAAAAGTAGTCAAGAGGAAGCAAATGAAGTTTTTTATTTCATCTTTAATCAAATGTGACCCAAAACATCAAAATGTAGAAATAAGGAAAAACAAGCTGCTGGGTCTGCTGCTGCTGAGGAGAAAGGGACTTTAACCTTCTTGCCCCCTTTTTACAGCACAGAGACTGGAACAGCTTGACTGGACCAGGTGCACCTCAAGAGAAATACCACGTAGGACCAGTAGGGAGATAAGTTCATAAATTGTTCTCAACACATAGCTTTATACATTCACATTATGATGCAGTGGAGTAACAGAGAAACATGTTTTCAGAACTGATTTTGGATTTGATAAATTTATAAGGGCCTGCCTTGATGGATGTGTTAAAGTGCGGGTCTATTTGTGGAATTTAAATGAAATGGTGCAGTTTTTAATATAACAATAATAATAATATAGCATTTTAAAAAGTACTCAAAGGCACGATATAAGGTAGAAAAGACAAAACAAGATCAGCATAAAAACCACAAAAATGGTAATGATAAAAACTGAAAATAACTATTAAAAAAGGTAAAACCAAAACAGTATGAGAACAGGAAAGAAATAACAACAAAACAGGTTTAGGCAAAATCAATTACAGGTTAGGTTGCCACCCTCCGCTCTTCAGTCCACACTGTCATTTACATACAACTTGAAAAGCTATATACTGTGTATATGTATATATAAATAATTCATTATTAACATTAATATTTTAGACATAAAATTTTCAGTTAGATATTGTAATGTAAGATTTTGCATTTAAGCTTTTCTATTTATTTTTTCAGGATTTATTTTTAAATTTCACTTTTTATTTGCAATTTTATTTTTTGTTGATGTCCACAGGAACTTTTTATATCAATTTGTCATTTTTATATTAAATTTCCTGTTTTATATTCCTTTTTCTTTCTTTTCTTTCTAACTTTTAATTATGGCCTGATTATCCTGAGGAATGAAATATAATTAATCAATTCCCCCTTTCCTTTTTTGAATATATTCACCTTTTGAAATGTTCTGTGTCATTGTCCATGTTTCTGTAGGTGTGAAGATGTGAGACGAAATTATATCAAATCTATGAAATTAGATTGTATTTTTAAAAACGTGGGCGTGACTTTGTGAATAGAGAGCTATAGAGAAATACATGGACTGTTGGCCTCCACACACACTTCACGTTAGGAGGAAGAGGGTAAGGGTTCAATTAATAATCTACACTCAACCAAATTCTATGGAAAGTTGAACAAGGTTTTACCTGCTGAACTCAAAACACACACCTCCGATTGCTCTTTAGCTACAAGCTAACAGTCAAGTGTGGCTAAACATCATAGCAGGGTTAGCTATATTAACTCACATTTGTTGGGAAAACATGTAAGTTATTGCCCCCAAGTTCAACCTGAGTCATCAAAATATTTTTAATAATTTAATAAAAAATTAATAATAATTTTTGTTTTACAGGGGAAAAAAGGAGAGGGATTATTGTATAAAAAAAGGGTTGGTATGTCACAGTGGATCACAATTTTAAAAAATTGTTACCAAACCATGTCTTATAATTTAAATTTAGAAATCAAAAAGGGTAGTCATTCTTGAAATATCCCACTTGTGCAGGGCACCAGCTAACATATGTGTGGATGTGGATGTGGAAATATGGGTCTTACCATACTGCCCACAAGACGAGGAGTGAGACAGGCTATATATAAACAATGTAATATAGAGTTTGCTTGAAATTATCACTAAACTTGAGTTAATTTTACTAAAATATGTGTCCCATTGAAAAGAATACCATTTATATTGAAAGGACAACAGTTTAGATAAGTCTAAGTTACTTTTACATCCCAGAGAATGAAGTGGGTATCTCACAAAAGTGAGTACACCCCTCACGTTTGTAAGTATTTGATTATATCTTTTCATGTGACAACACTGAAGAAATGACACTTCAATGTAAAGTAGTGAGTGTACAGCTTGTAGAACAGTGTAAATTTTCCGTCCCCTCAAATTAACACGTCACACAGCCATTAATGTCTAAACCGCTGGCAACCAAAGTGAGTACACCCCTTAGAGAAAATGTGCTAATTGGGCCCAAAAACTATTTACTACTATGACTCGTTAGTGTTACAAGGTCTCAGGTGTGAATGGGGAGCAGGTGTGTTAAATTTGGTCTTATCGTTCTCGCACTCCCTCATACTGGCCATGGGAAGTTCAACGTGGCACCTCATGGCAAAGAACTCTGTGGATCTGAAAAAAAGAATGGTTGCTCTACATAAAGATGGCCTAAGCTATGAGAAGATCGCCAAGACCCTGAAACTGTGCTGCAGCATGGGGGCCAAGACCATGCAGTGGTTCAACAGGACAGGTTCGACCAAGGAAATTGAGTGCACGTGCTCAGTGTCCAATCCAGAGGTTGTCTTTGGTAAAAAAGACATACAAGACTACCTACCTAAAAGACAAAAGACTACCTACCAGCATTGCTGCAGAGGTTGAAGGGGTGGGGGGGTCAGCCTGTCAGTGCTCAGACCATACGCCGCACACTGCGTGAAATTGGTCTACATGGCTGTCGTCCCAGGAGGAAGCCTCTTCTAAAGATGATGCACAAGAAAGCCCACAAACAGTTTGCTGAAGACAAGCAGACTAAGGACATTGGTTTACAGCTACCTGTGGTCTGATGAGACCAAGATAAACTTATTTGGTTTAGATGGTGTCAAGTGTGTGTGGCAGCAACCAGGTGAGGAGCACAAAGACAAAGTGTGTCTTGCCTACAGTCAAGCATGGTGGTGGGAGTGTCCTGGTCTGGGACTGCAAGACTGCTGCCGGCACATGTGAGGGGTGTACTCACTTTTGAAATGTAATGTAAATGCATGTCGACCAGTTAACATTATAGCTGTCCACATCTGCTAGCAGATAGGGTTAACCTCCTTTGTGTTGCTTTGGTCTATAGGGACTGAATTGCGTTAAAATGTGTTGACATGGCACACGGATTGTCCTTAAAAGTGGCGTGCTATTTATACGCCATCCCATGATGTGATGTTGACAGAAGAGCTGGGTATTAGCTACCTTTGCAAAGTAAGGTTGATAAAACAACAAATCTAAAATGATAGATTAAACAACAATCCACGTGTTATATTTTTCATTTACTTTGGTGAAATCAAAAGGTAAAATGTCTCTGCTATTAATCAATGTTCATTTTTATGAAAAAGACCTTCCTGATCACTAGAACCCACCTATGCAAGCACATCTTAATATCTACTAAGTCAGTGGTTCTCAAAGTGGTGTCCGGGGACCCCCAGGGGTAGTTCCAGGGGGTCCCAAGCAAAAAGGGGAATACTTTATTTTCAATATAATTCTATCCATGAGCAACAAAGTGACAGAATGTCTGACTATTTTGATTATGGGTTTCATACACTGGGCCCGATTTAGTACTAAATTGCATGTGCATTTTAAAATATTGCAAGTGCAATTGTAGTACCTGTTGGGTGATTTACTAAGAATTATTGCGTAGATGACAACAGGAGCAAACACAATAGAGGTCTGTGGTCTAATTTGCAAGGGTTCCCAAATGATTCACAAACAGACTGGATGGATGCTGAGCCAAGCTTCAATCAGAAAATCAGAGGACTTGCTAATGCGGAGGATTGTATTAGGAGCAGAGACTCGGTTTAAACAAAGGACACAACTTCCTCCTCTGACTGTCTACTCCTCGTCC